GGATATTAAGGAGAGACTTGAGCAAATGTTGGGCAGCATCTGTTGATGCAACAATCCTCATAGAGTGGCCTAACATCACAGTAAGAGCAGCTTTCCGAGCAATACTCAGAGCAAGATTCTGCATTTGCACAGACTGTCATGAATATGAATACTAGCATCATCATTAATATTACAATCAACATATTGTTATTTTTCTTCATCATGTCTCTCTTTTCTATGTCTTTTCTTCTTTATTTTGTGCTTTATACTTTGTTAGTGGAAGGGCTATATATAGTAGTTCCTAGTTGACGAAAAAAAATAAAGTACTCCTCCCTTCAATTTGTTCTTTTCTATTTTCCTTTTTTATCCATTTGAAAAAAGACGGTACAACATCACACAATTTGAAGTTTTTTAATATAAAATTATAATATTTTATTATTTTTTTGAAAAAATGACAAAAATCTCATATTTAAGTTCTCTAATTACCATTATTCCTTAATAGTTTAAATTTTTTCAAAATATCTCAATTTCGCGCATTAGATTAATGTATCTCGCGCATCACATTAGCGTATCATGTATAAAATGTAATGTATCTTACTTAACGATTAATGTATCTCGCCATCAAATTAATGTATCAGCGCCAATATTATTGTATTAGTTTAAAGGATTTCTATAATTATAAGCTTATAATGGACAAATGGTTATATAGTTTCTGTCCTTTGCCTTATTTTTTTATTTCTTCAATGCAAATCAAAAAAGATAAAACAAATTAAAACAGGAAAAAAAATTCTCTCAAGATTTATAGACATAGTAAATTTTAATGTGATTAATTTTGAGATAAATTTAGAATTTAAATGAAGATTCTTAGGATTAAACATTTAAATATAGGCTCAAAAGTTCAATATAAGTGGTTATATACATGAATGTAATTTCGTCAGGCTCGAAAAACTTTAGCCGCCTCTAAAAGTCTCATTTAGCTGCCACCAAGACCAAAAAGAAAAACACATAAAATATATGTCAACTAGTCTATATTGTATTTCATGATGAAGAAAATAATCTTTTTTTTATGTTTAGTATTTTATATTTGCTAAAGGACAATTATTGAGTAATAAAATTCAACGATAATTAAAGGAAGAGTGTTTGTAAGTTCTTAACAAGAAAGTCAAATTGCTTGCTCAATTTTTGAGAAATAGTCATTCTTCTTCTTTTTATCTAGTTGCCTTTCTAAATATTTATTTTATTCTTACATGTATTACCAATTTCTATCTTCTGTTTTTATACTTCTTTAAAATTATATTAATTCATCTTAGAAAGCAAACTATTTGATTGAGTAAATAAACTATTTTTTTTCTATAATGATTTTAATAGAATTTGTAACGTTAACGTGATAATCTTATAAACATATATTGATACAAATAATACAAATATATATACGTAGCGACATGGTGTCCAGTCCTTCCTAATGTAGAATGCATATGTAATATATATTTTTAAAAGCAATTAACACTCTTAACTAATGCCAATAAAGATTTTAACACTCTTTATTAATGTCAATATTTATTTAATTATCATGTTCCACTTTAATAATTAAAAAGATGACATAAATCTTTTTTTTCCCAAAAAAATGTAATTATAAGAGACTTTTTTTTAAAAAAAAAAAAGTAACAAGAAAAAAATGCAAACAACAATTTATTTTAAATATAAATAACAGAGCCAAAAAAGACGGAGAAACGAAAGATTAAAATAGAAGACCAAATGGCCAAATATGTCGACTAGCCATTTTTTAAACCAAATACCGAGCAGCTACTTTTTGTCTAATTAATTTTTTTCAATGGACACTTTGCATAAATTTTCATTCGGTAGAGTTCAAAAATACTCTTTTTAACATATTAGAATTATTAAGAAATATAGTTTTTTCACTAATTTGGTTTAAAAACACTTAATATTTGTAGACACGTAATTTTGATCGAATTTAAGTTTTATATCCTTTTTAGAGCTTAAATATTTTTTATAAATATTTTGTGTTTTATCTTATTTTATTAAGTTTATTTTTAAAAGATATGAAAACAAAAAAAATAGAAACACTTTAAAGTGTATTTTTATTTATTCATTCAAAGTTTTAATAAATTAGTGATTTTAACTTTTTATATTTTTTTATCTAGCTATTTAATTTTTCTTAATTAATATTATTATTATTTTATAAAAAAAATAATTAAATCAAATTAACCTACCCATTATCCTACCCCCATTTCACCATTTCTCTCCACTCACGCCACACCCGCTCCACTAATCCAACTCTTCCATACACATGTACATACATATACATAAATATATACACATTAATAAGGGGAGGAAAAAAGAGAAGAAGAAAAAGTGGTACAAAGAAAACGAGAAAAAAAATCAGCAAAAGG